GGAAAAAAAAAAAAAAAAAGAAGGAAAGAGACAGGAAACATAGTCATTCCATGACAGCTTTGAGACGAAACGTTCTGAAGAAAAATTTCACCTTTTCGACATGTTCCGGTCAATACCGCCAATGTTTTGTATACAAATTTAACAGCTTACATTTCTTAAGCTCCTTGGGTGGATCTGGTCAGAATCGAAGACACATTAAAAGGTTTCACACGAGGAGCCTTCGATTTTTTACGTTCTCATTTGCCATTTGGAAATTTCAGGGCTTGCTTCCAAGGGAAATTAAGGTGAATATTTTTTGGGTGCTTATGCTTGAGCTCCATACGAGCTCTCTTTGGTTGGTTTCTTTGTGGGTTTTGTGTTGCAGGTGATTTGGTTCAATATTTTGGCAGCTTTGGGGAAGAAAACTTCTGGGTTTTCTTAAATTCTTTCTGTTGTATTCAGAGTTCAACTTCTCATCAGAAAAACTTTCGTGGGTATGTGAAGATTTTCTTATATATGGTGGAAATTGGGATATAATAGGTGTCTTCTTAAGGAAAATTGAATTGGGTTGGTGCCAAATCGTGAAGGTTAGAAGCTTTTGTGTGGTTTTGCGTGATGATGCTGTTCTAGGGTTTTGGTTATGAGAGGTTTAGTCATTGATGAAATGAGAAGGATATTAAACGTTTGGAATGACAATTCAACAACAAATAGGTCTTATGAGGACAAGCCGTTTCATTGTTTTGGTTATTCTGCTATGTGCTTCAACATCAATAAGCTCAGAGGAGAGGAAAATCACAGAGGAAGTGTTTCTCAGTCAACTTGTTGATCCAGCAACTGGAAAGATTGATGGAGACATGGTAAGAGACTATATAACATCTTTTTGTTTCAGTAAGATAACTTATCATATGAGTGTGGTATATCTTATATGATAAATTTGTTCATATTAATGTTATTCGTTTTAAATTTGTATCAACACCATATCATATATAGGGATTTCTGTAGTACGCCTCTCTGCTCTTATTTCAATAGCATCATATCATATATCTGGACCGAACAGTAGATCCGAAAATTAGTTAAATAATCTAAAGCTTTTTAGTTCGTGGAAGTATGTTTGGAGCTTATGAAGTATTTAAGGCACAAAGCTATTTTCTTGTACTGAAATAGATTTTGATTTTGTTAATTTTACTAAAATGTTTGTGCATAACTTATTTGAAAACCAGAAGTAGTATTTGACAAAGCGATATCTTGATAATTCTAACAAAGTTGTATATCTATTGAAGATAAAAGAAGGCCAAAACAGAATTGAAAAAACTTGTATGAGAAATGATATTTTGATGTATTTGAGCTTTCACTTTTCACCAATGAAGTTTCTTATTCTTCATTAACTCTGTTATATGCTTGTTTTTGCAAAAGTAGACATTAAAATTTGTAAATTCTGTGGGCTGCAGGCACAGCTGTTATGGATAAGTTGCAAGGTGGATTTGGCCCATTTGAC